ATTAAGTTTGGAGCCAACATTTCAAAATTCTAAGGGAAATCAGAGTCATTTAACAAAACTCCTTTGTTAAAAAAACAAAAAACAAACAAAAAAGCTCAACTAACCCATATATTTATTGAATGATTTATGAGGCAGCTAAGTGGCTCAGTGGATAGAGCACTGGGCCTGGAGTCAGAAAGTTCAAATCCAACCTCAGATACTAGCGGTGTGACCTTGGGCAAATGACTTAACCTACGTTTGCCTTAATCCACTGAAAAAGGAAATGGCAAACCCCTCCAGTATCTTTGCCAAGAAAACCCCATGGACAAGCATGGTCCATGGAGTCACAAAGTATTTGATAGCTTCTAGATATCTTACTACCTTATCAAATGAGATCATGTATATAAAATCTTTTACAAACTTTAAGTGTGAATGATCATTATTAAAGTTATTATTTGCCTTATACAGTCAAAAAGATGGTCATGATTTGAAAATTGAGTTCCACAGAGACAATGTACTCCTAGTCACCCACGTAATGAAGTCTAAACTCTTTCTTCTAGAATTCAATTCCAAACTGTCTTTTCAGCTTTATTTCTGATAAATATCCAAACTGAATTATTTATCATTCCCAAGTTTACCACCTCTGTATGTGTGATCATACTATTTCAACATTCCATGCTGTCCTTTCATCCTGGATCAAATAACACCTCTTTTATGATGGCATCCCTGGCTCCACCAAGAGAATGCCATTTCTTCCTATTTTCAATCATTGTGGTATTTGGTAATAACTCCCTTATGACACATCATTTTTTTTTAATTATGTTTACTTGTGTTAACATCTCACAAGTGTAAAGTATTACTGAGCAAGGACTGACTCCTGACATCATAAAGTGCAGTGCTTTGCATAAAGTAAGAAGTTTTTTTTTTTTAAACTAAACTGGATAAATAAATATTTTGCATTGATTATGGTGGTGATGGCAGACAGAAAAAGGCCAATGTTTTTCCATTCCAGAGGATATCCAGTTACTTTTCACTGTATTCTACACCAGATATGAGAAGAGCTATATTCTTTCCATCTTACTGCAAAGAAACTACATAAATGTTGAGTATATACACTGTATGGTAACAGTAAGCAGAGTTTGTATAATAATGCACCTTTTTTCTCTGCAGATTTTTATTACTTAGTATCTTGAGAAGTATATAAATTCCCTAAACAACCTTCTATCCTCTCTGGTATTATTAGGTGATGACAAGGTACATTTGAATTTCATTATGTCCTTTGAAAGCTGTTTCCCAGCAACTTTTGATACCACAGAAGCCTTGTATTTAGTACACAGCTGTCAAGGATACAAAGGATCAGGGCTAGAGAATATAATATTTGGGGGCTAATATTTCAATTATTGATAGGTACTTTGACTACTACTGACTCTTTAATAAAGTGAAGAGAGTTTGCTATCTGCAACAGGGGAGGGAGCATTGAAACATTAAAACATCATGGAATTGAAGTAAAAAAAGAATATTGCCAAGTAGGGGACCTTTCCTCCTTTTCAACATCTATCATCTCTATACCACTCAGAAATTTAATATAAGCTCAGGCAAGTAATACTCATTCTCATATTAGTCATTTCTAAAAATGCATTTCTTATTCTGCATATTGGACCATCAATTCTGTCATGAGGTGAGCAGTATTCATTACCAGTTCCATGAAATGATGGGTGATAATTTAGTTTATCAGAGTTCTTAAGTCTTTCAAAATTGTTCATTTTTATAATACTGATGTCACCATATAAATTTTTCTTCTTGTTCTGCTCACTTCACTCTGCATCATTTCATCCTTGTCTCTTTGAAACCATCTTTCTCCTATAGTATTCCATTACATTCATTCAACACAATTTTTTCAGCCATCCTAGTTTAAAGTTTTTTGTTAACACAAAAGAGCTGTTATAAATATTTTTGTACATACATGACCTTTTCTTTTCTTTGATCTCTGTGAGCTATAGGGGTAAGCCTAGCAGGGGTATAACTGAGTCAAAGTGCATGTTCTGTTTAGTAACTTTTTGTACATAATTCCAAACTGCTTTCCAAGATGAATGGATCCATTCACAGCTCCATTAAAAGTGTACCAGTTTTCCTGCAACCCTGACAACATTTGCCATGTCTTTTGTTGGTCATCTTTTCTACTCTGTGGACTGGGAGGTGAAACTTCAGAATTGCTTTAATTATTAGTAATTTGGAACATTTTTTTTTATCCTATCTATACTTTAAAAGAAATGAATGCTTGGTAATTGAAAAAAAAAAAGGCAATTTAATAGAATGTAACCAAGAACAAAATTGTTGAATGTTAGTATGAGAAGGGAAATCAGAAATCCAACTAGTCCAAGCTTCTCATTTTTACAGAAGAAAAACTTTGGGTGACAAATCTGGTAACTCATCAAAGTGACACATAGTACAGTAGGTGTCAATGGTATGATTTTATTCCTGATCTTCTGACTCAATGGCAAGGATTCTCAACCATTTTTATGTGTCAAGAACCTACCTCCCAATCCCTACCTCCTACTGTCTTTGGTAGCTTGGTGAAGCCTATGGACCCATTCTCAGAAAAATGATTTTATATAATATAAAATAAAATACACAGGTATTGGATGATTGAGAGAGTAAGCATCCTCCCCTTCTGATAAAAGGCTGCCCATTTCATTTCTCCAATCAAATTAATATAATCACTCAGCCTGGTGTAATGAACACAGTGCTAATTTGTCAGCTGGACTTGAGTCACATTCCTTCCTCTAACACTGGGCAGTATGTCACCTTGGGAGAGCCATCATCTCCCTCAGTACCCCTGGCAACTTTCTAAGACTAAAAGCTGCAGAGAAGGTACTGATCTGCACTAGTAGAGAGTTTTTCATCAGGAACTTGTTATACAGATGAAATCATAATTCCAATTTAAAAAAACAAAAAAACCCTTGTCACTGATCTAGAATAAGTCCTTATAAAGCTAAAAATTCTATTCCAAGTGTGTTCTTTAATTTCTCCACCCAACTCAATGTATAATAAACAATATAGAATTGCCCATTATATTTATCTTAGTATGATGGCAACATGTTCTTAATGAACAAATAAAAGGTCAGCACTACAATGAATTGTTTAAATAGACATAAAGTTTTCTGATTTTGACAGAATCTCTCACTAAGAACTTTACTGCCTAGAAATATCTTAAGTTTACCCCAGGGACTTCCTGTTTATACTTGGATAGAAATATAAAAGAGTTTCAGCTCTCTTCCTCCAATGATTTTCAATATTTAACTCTGGCATGGAAAGGTAAAATCTAGCATGGGAATGTATTTTAAGTTTTCTCATGAATAATTTTGAAAATGTGTATTTTTGATCAAGAGACTATCCATGAATCCACTGTCAACTTCTCCATCTTTCTGGTGTCTAATGGTCCTGGGCAGCAATACTTAATACAAAGACCAAGGCAGGAAAATAAGCACACAATTTGTCATGATGCCTTTTGATGAATGGCCAGTTTTCAATCAAAACCCTGAACCAGAAACTGAGGCAAGAACTTAGAAGATAAGAAAAAAATGGAACTGTGCTCATAAGCTTATATTCTATCAGGGGTGAAACATGTTCACATCTAAGGATTTTCAGAAGAATTATATGCAGGATAAACACATGATACCTAATAAAAGGTAGTCAGAGAGGAAGGACACTATTACTTGGAGGCAAGCTGTAAAGGTTTCATGTAGAAAGTGATAACTGAGCAGAAAGATATTACAAAGGGTGGAAGAAAGCAAAGAGTATCAGTGGCTACTGAGATTCCATCCATTACCCCCCACCACCATTCAACAAACATTCATCAACAAACTACAATCTGCAAGGCACTACACAAGATGTAAGAGATGGCAATACAAAAAACCAAAGCATAGTACAAGGTAATACTTTAGCTAAGTCTTGAAGGAAGTAGAAGATTCTGAAAGACAAAGGTGAGAGAGAAGAGTACCAGACATGGAGGATGACCAGTGCAAAGCCACTGGGGTGAAAAATGGGAATGTCACATGCAAGGACAAGCAATAAAGTCAGTCTTGCTAGAACAGGGTGCAGGACAAGGTATAATATATAACATGACTGAAAAAATTGATTGGGGCCAAGATTTTAAGGGCGTTAAAATTGAAAGGAGATTTTATATTTGATCCTAAGGGCAAGAGTAAGCTACTAGAGTTGACTGAATAGGAAAATGACATGTTTAGATCCACACTTAAGGAAGAAAGACATCTTTGGCAGCTGTGAGGAGGGCAGACTGGAGTGGGGACGAACCAAGAGAGAGAGCAATAAGGGCCTGAACTAAGATAGTGGATATGTGAAAAATGAGAAAAGGTTAGACGTGAGAGATGGTGTGGAGTTAAAAATGGCAGGATTTGACAACTAACTGACTGATTGTGGGGCCAAGGAGAAGAAGGAGTTAACACCTTGATTTTGGACCTGGAGACTTAAAGAATGTGGTGCTCTTAACAGAAATAGGGAAGTTCTATGGGGGTTTTATAGGAAGATAACAGGTTCTGCTTTGAACATGCTAAGCTTGAGGAATCTCTCAATCAACCAATTTTAAATGTTTAACTTTACAATGCCTACCTCCACAACATTTCTTGGACTCACAAAACCACCAACCTAGTGCAAGGCACTTATCATCTCTAGTATGAGCGATTGCAATGGTCTCTTCCCTACCTCCAACTCCCACTTTTTATTTATCTGTTCATTCATTCATTTAAAA